GACAGGTGCCGCCGCCCCCGCCGCGCCCCCGCCCGAGCCGGCGCTCGAAATTTCTGGAGCGCCGACCTGACTCGCCGTGTGCTGCTTTCCAGGTTTGAAGCCGCTGCAGCCCGAGCGGGGTCTCGCCGGCCCGGGTCTTCCTCTGCGGAGTTGCGAGGAAGTTTTGGAGCATCGGTCGCAGCCTGCGGGTGAATTGGGCTCGTTCGGGAATGAGGTACCGTGCAGTGAATTACTCTCGGGTGTGGGACCGGCTACTAGAAAGTAAACGAGCAGAATTGTATTTTTTTTTTTTTTCTGCCGTTATTGTTTGGAAGTTCTTTAAAATTTGGAGGGGATCTTAAGCATCTAGGATGTTTAATAAATATTGAACAGAAACGATAAAGTAGTTTATTACACGGTCTGTCGTTTCTTTACATGCCTTTTTTTCCTGTACCTCAGTGAGGTTTTTCAGTTGAGTAAGGGGTAATGTTTTCATTAGAAACACTAAATATCGTGGTTTTTGTACTGAAAAATCAGTGAGTATTTTTCTACACCATTTACCATTACATCTTTATATAGTAAGTGCGATTACAATCAGAATCATCAGGTTAGTAAATTTGTTTGTAGTCATAAAAATGTTTGCGAAACCTTATGGCAGATTAGAAACCTTACGGCAAATAAAAAATCCCTAGCTGGGCGTGGTGGCACATACCTGTAATTCCAGCACTTAGGAGGCTGAGGCAGGAGAATCACTGTACCCTGGAGGCCAGCCTGGACTACCTAACAAGTGGAAAGCAGCCTGAACTCCATAGCGATCCTGTCTCTAAATAAATAAATAAATAAATAAGTAAATAAGCAAATTTTTAAAAACTTTTTTTATTTTTTTAGTACCGGGAATCGAACTCAGGACCTTGCGCTTGCCAGGCAGGCGCTTGTGCCACTGAGCTGTTTCCCTAGCCCAATAAACAAATAAACTTAAAAATCTCTATAAAAATCTAGATTTTCCCCCAGCAACTTGATACTACTAAAGTTGGTAGTAGTTAAATCCTGTTTAATGAGATGTTCTTGTTCTATATGGTCATTAAAAACCTGTCTATATTATGCAGTGTCAGTCTGGTGGCTTCAACTCCACAGAGAAGAGCAAATATCAAGTATACTGTATACTTGGGAAATGTAAAGGGAACGTGCGAAAACCCCACTAGGTTCAATAAACTTTTCTTTTTTTTTTTTTTTTGGCTTTTTGAAACGGTCTGGATATGCAGCTTAGGCTGGCCTTGAGCTCACTTTGTAGCCTTGGCTGGTCTCTGAGCTCAAAACGATCCTCCTGCCTCAACCTCCCTAGTGCTGGGATTACAGGCATGCACCACTACTCCTGGCTTTTCTTTCTATTCTTGACAAATGCTATACAAGATGAGGCCTGATCTTGAAATCAGTACCCTACGGGGATAAGCACAACAATAAGGAGATTATTTTTTGGAGCCCCTTCACTAGTACAAATAAATAAGGAAAATGGAAAATGATTAATTTGAGGGACATGTCAGAGAATGCTTCATAGAAATGCTAGCCACTGAACAAGATTTTGAAGAGTGAATTAGAAATTTTAAGTGGGAGAGATAGAGGGCGTCCCAGGCAAAGGGAATAGCATAAAGATAGGAACAAATTAACTTGTGTTCAGGAAATTCTAAGTAGTTGGTTTTCTTGGAGTTCAGATACAATCCAAAGAGGGAGAACTGCTGTATAAAGCCCTAACATATAACATTCAATAGGTCAAAAAGTAGCTTTTTGGATATTGATTGTAAAATGAAGACTTAATATACTTTTGACATCACTATTCTCAAGTGTATAGGAATTGGTTTTTACTAATGGTAATTATGAAATTATAAAAGCTGTAAAATAATAAAGAGTACATTTGTGAGTTTCCTGTATATAATTGTGAACTTACTTCTATCTTTTGGTTTTGACCTGAAACATTTCTGCTTTTTAAATTATCATGTGAATTTCTTTTGTCTTCAACCTCTTATACAGTATTAACCTTGAAAAGTTTTTTTAGAGGAAGGGTTTGTTTTTATTTTTACATTTGTTTATTTACTTATTTATTTAGTTAGTACTGGGAATTGAACTCAGGACCTTGTACTTGCCAGACAGGGGCTGTGCCACTGAGGTATATTCTCAGCTTCATTTATTTATTTATTTATTTACAGTGCTAAAGAGCAAAACCAGGGCCCGTGTGGATGTTAAGCAAGTGCTGTACCACTGATTGATACCTCCAGCCTTGAAATTTTTAAAAGGAGATTCAAAGGGAAGAGGGGGGAATAAAAAATAATAATTAGATTTTTTTTTTACCTAATGTACATTAGCAGCCATATTCATATTAACATAAGTAGCTTAGTAAAGGTCCACCATACTTTCATTTGCATTGTGTCTTAATTATATCACATAGGAGTATGTAAATGACCATATAAATATCTACATTTTAAAGACCAAGTATGTTAGAGAAAGGGAGAGTAGAGGAGGGAGAAGAGCTATATTTAAATGGCTTATCCTAGTGTCATTTAGCTATGGCTAAAGGTGAAGAGACAGAAGTTTATGACCCAAAACTGGCTAACCTCACTCAGCTAAACCATGAAGCAGTATCTTTTAAAAATCTAGTGTCTTCATAGTCTTTAAGGTTTAAAAAAGAGTTGCAAAGAATTCTTGGATTATGTAACATGACCATCTCATTAAATTCTTAAAAATTTACAAACTGTTCTCCTGAAAGCATGCAGTAATTAGTCTTTGACAGTTGTTCACTATCATTTGACTTCTGCATCACTAACATAAAGAAGTAAAGTGTCTCATTGCTACTTGTGACCTGTAGACTTATACTTACACTTTGTAGTTTACTTTGGGGTTTTTTTTTTTTTGGTACCAGTACTCAAACTCATGACCTCAAGCTTGCCAGGCACATGCTTATGCTGCTGAGGTATCTCTCCGGCCCATACACTTTGTAAGCAGGCACTAAAAAATAGTATTTCATTGATTACATTATGCCTAACATTTTGAATATACACAATAATTTTCCCTTTTCAAGCTGAATTTTTTTTCTTTATAGAAGTATATGGTCATTGTAGACTGTTTGGGAAAATTGTAAAAACTGTAAAAAGGAAAAGAAGTGTAATGAGTAGTTCCATGCATTTCTTTTTTGGTAGGCAGATTGATAATAGGCTTGTTATTTGGTAGGCTTGTTTTCAAATTGAGAATTACTTATATATTATTACAGTTCCATGTTTTATTTAAAATTTACGTTTTCCCATTTATCGCTTCTGAAGTACTAGTTAGTATGTCGTTTGGCATGGTACGCAGGTTTCTTTAGTGGCTTTTGCATAGGTGATGTGTTGTCTTTTGTTTTTTAAAGAACAGCCTGAAGTACAGTTTGAGCCCTTCTAGTTGTCTTATTTCCTATCCCTTTAGCTGCAGACTAAGTAGATCTATGTTTTGTCTTTAATATTTACTGTTACGTAAAATAGAACACAGGTGGCTGTCACTCCTCTGTTCTTTTTTGCACGCTTACCCAAATCAAACAAGGGATAATCACAGGTATTTCCCTCTTTATAGTCTACCTTTTCCAGGTTGAAGTATTTGACACAGTGGTTGCTGAGTGGTATAGCCTTGTCAGAAAAAGGATTTTTTCAACTATTTATCATTGGTTCTTTCCTCAGTTAACAGCATTTATTCTCTCTTTTTTTTTTTTTCCTCCGGTACCGGGAACCGAACTCACGACCTTGCGCTTGCCAGGCAGGCGCTTTGCCCCTGAGCTAGATCCCCAGCCCCAACAGCATTTATTCTAATGCTTTCTTTTTGCTGTTTCTTTTATTTCTTTTCACTCATTCAGGAAATATCTGTTGGGTATCTGCAGTTTAGGACAACTGTGATTCTTGGGGTTAAGGTAAACTGATGTTTTCCTTCTGCAGTAGATTAGGTATAATCTTCAGGTCTCTGACTTGTGGCACTGCCTGACTATTTAACTAGTCCTCCGTGACTAAACACTTTTTTATTTCAGAGATTAAAGCCTTAATTTCTAGATGGGGCACATATTTGAGTTTCAGAGCATGTTTCACAGTGGAGTCATGTTCTCAGTCACATTTTTAAATCTTCAAAATCTTTTCAAGATTTTTAGTGAGAAAATTATGCTTGTATGCAGATACAAATTTTAAAATACTATATTATGTTTATCATGAAATACAAATATACAGTTCTTCATCTAAACTTTTAAATGATCATTTCTTCTAATTGAGTCTGCAATAAAATGTATAAGTAATAAAAATAACTTTCGTTGTCTGAGTATTCAGCAGTTTATAAAGACTAATAGCTATTTAATACAAAATAATACGAATAATATAAAATTTCCTGTGATAAAATGAATTTCAGGTTCATTTGAAATTTCTCACATCCAAGTATTTTAGAATAGTGATAAAACTGTAACTGGTAAAAAGTGTACACATTGTTTGACCAG